CATTAATATCACATTAATCAACGTTAATGCATTTTAATATATTGTCACGCTATTCTCATTGTCTTCAATGCACCAACATCTTATATCCTTATCAGATACACTAAATTATAAACTTACTCATCCGTAATCTTGAAGGGCGAATAGCTGAGAATGAAAATACCATCATTAATAACGTGTCACATGTAATACCATTACTACTCACCCAATGACCTGGGCCAAAAACTGTTCGAAGCGTCCATCGTCCTTGTCGCCAACCACGCTATTCGGGCGCAATCGCAAATCGCCTTTGAGCAGCTCCAGATGCTTGAAGTCCGTGGCCGTCGAATTGAACTTGACAAAGAAATTGGCATAGATGGACAGCACGAAGGTCCAGTAGGTCTTGTAGACATAGTGCTGGTTCTTCAGCTCCTGCAGCTCGGCGGGACTGGGCGCCAGCTTGCGATTGAAGAACATCAGTGATGGCAGCGTAGTGCGCAGCTCCTCGCGGGAAAACGATAACGGCTGGAAGCAACGCAACAAATGCTTAGTCAGCGGCGGCGACAGTTCATTGGCAAGGATCTTGCGCGCCAGCTGGCAGGCGGAAACTCGGCAGTTTTCGCCGCAAAAGTATTGCGGCTCGACGCTGTCGTAGCGATAACGTTTGCGTGTCGCCAAGTGCTGGAATACAGCCCATGCCACGTGGTAGGTGGTGCGCAAAGCGGTATCCATCTCCTGACGCCGCAACGTCCCGCCACTCGACTCCTCCTTTGTGACAGCGACAACAGCATCGGACTGACTACGCTGCTGTGCGGCAGCAGCGGCGCTTGTGCTAGCTGCCATATGGTGTTTGGCCTCATCGCTGGTGCAGGTGCTCAGTATTTTCGATTTCATTAGCTTGGCGTCCTTCTCAACAATGCCGAGTGTTGTGCACTTGGCACAATGTCCGGCTTGTCGCGGCATCAGAGGTGTGCCAGCAATGGAGCAAGTGATGCATTTGCAGTTCCTGGAACAAAGAGGGGAAATGCTTAGAGAGAAATGTTCTGATATGTCTCAAATTTTCCATAACCTACTCATTATGGTATTCCAGCATCGCATTACACTTTTTGCATAAGTCCTCGTGCACCAGCTTATTGGGCGGATCGTAGAAACCGTCTGGCCATTTGAGCTTGGTGAACGCCATGATGTTCTTCCAAGCCAGCTGACGATCGACAATCCGCTGAAAATCTATGAACTCATCATCACTGATATCCGGCAGCGAGAAGGAGGTGGCATCCATAACGACCTTATCAAATATGTTATACACATCGAGTAGGCCCATGCGACGATCGTGCTCCGTGGGCGACAAGTTGAACTTGTTTAGCTCCACCCAAATGTCCGTCCAGCGGCGCTCAATGGAGTGCATATGCTCATCGAAAAGCATATAGCGTTTAATTAGCGCCGTTGTCTGGGTCGAGCTCTCGCCCTCCTTCAGCGACAATATGCATGCGAGCATGGTGTCGCCCAGCGGATTGAACACATGTTGCTGAAAGAGACGCTGGCACAGTAGCACCCAGGAGAGCTTGAACTTGCGCAGAAAATCATTCTCGAAAGCGAACAGACTTAGCGAGATCTTCTGTGAGATGCAGTTCAGATCTGAGTAGCCGTCCAGTAAATCTAATGACAGAAATGGGTAAAGTGTTTTTAAGATATAACTAATGTAAGAGTGTTTAAATTATAGTTTTTGTTTGTTTCACATGCAACAATTAATCATTATCTTTATGCTGTAACTTTGAGTAGTTTTCCAGTTATAAGTAATCTGATCTAGGCTATATAATGTTAGTGTTTTGATAACTAATTATTTAGTTGGCAGTTATTTGGTGTTCGTTATTTATTAATTTGTTAAATCGGCTCGACTATTTATGTGAGTCGAAGTAAACTGTTAGAAACATGTGAAATGGGATTCTAAACACTTTTTCTTGCTATACAAATTATAGCTATAGTTAGTACTACTCTCACATGTTAGTAAAAATTAAAAGGTAAAGCATTTTTTTTTTTTTTATACAGATGTAAACGTTATATATCAACTGCAAGCTATCACCCTTCGGTTGGACCTACATGTGAGCATCTTTTCGGCAGATATCTTTTCGTTCTCCTGTACGTTTTGAGCAATTTCGATCATGCCCTCGGAAAATGCCTTGACAATGCACTCAACATTATAGGCGAGTATTTGTAGCAGCAGCATTGGATTGTTGGCCATCAGTCTGTGAAGTGAATGTCGGAATGTTTATTTCGTATCACTTGGATCGCACAAACAATTATATCAACTTACATGGCGCTGAATAGCACTAATATCATATTATCAGAGATCGCAGTATCATCAATAAAATCCAAATATTCGGCATTTTTATCGTAGAGAAATCCGCTTGTTATCCAATAGATTTGCTTATTGGACTCCAATAGCTTCTCAAATTTGTTGTAGGCAGCATCGTTTCTATAAATATAAATTAAAATAGATTATATCATATGAATTATATATTGATTGGCTTGAGACTAACTTTAACATGGGACTGTATGCCTTGATCAGCACATCGAGCAGCATGACGACCATGTGGGCAGCCTTGAATTGATCCATCATAATGGCCATGATGGTTTCGCGATATTCGAGACATTCCTTGCAGGAACAAAATGTGAAGAACTCCTCCTTTCGATGCTTCACAAATATCAAGGCAAGATTCTGAAAATAAAGCTGCAATGGATTAGGCTTCAGCATGACAGATTCATGACAATAGGAGCACACCGTAATTGCACGCAGCTGTCCGTCGGCGTCCCTCAGTGGATTCTTTGGATCCTCCGAGAATAAACGCATATTCTCAATGGCCATCTGCGAAATGGAACAAATATTATAATTAGGGTTCAGTTCAGATCTTTAGTTCTACTTACCAAATAAGAGCGCGTCTCATCGTTTGGATCCTGGCTTTTCGACTTACACTCGTGCAGCAGCTTATCGCTTAGCTCCATTTCGATGACATTGTTCTCGCGCAGGCTCCATTGCATGAGTGAAACCACCTCCTTGTAGACCACATCCGATTTGGGCGCTGGCGCGTAAGGATCAAACGGCGGCAGCGCCAATATCGTGTGCAGCGTATTTATGATGTTGCCTTCGGGGAAATTTAGCCGCTCCAACAGCTGACAAGGCGGTGGTGGATTAGGCTTGCTGCTGCCATTGCTTTTGCCCGCTTGATGTTTGGATTGGAGGGGCAATGGTTTGTTGGCGCTGAGCGCCTCCCGCATTGCGACCAATGCATCACATTTCATTGGTATTGAGTCACCACAGATGCGCGGCGTGGCCGCGTCAATGGACATTTTCATGCTCACATGATAGCAAGAGGCGGCATCCAGTTCACCATTGACAACGGCCTCGGCTGCAGCCACAACACTCGCATCGACGTTGCTGGCACGGGTTTTGGCTTTGGCTCCCTTGGATTTGTTGCTGCCGCTGCTCCCGCTGCAACTGGGACGCGCATCGTCCTCGCTGCTGCAACAGTTCATGCAAGTTTTTGTTGCTGTTGCGGCTTGTACTGCTCTTTCGGAGTCTGGCACCTGTAACATTGCGGTAACGGGAATTGTCTTCATGTACGTCAATGCCTTCTCCACTTGTTCAGCCATCTTTATTTATTTGATTAAACGAAATTTTTCGATCTTTTTGTATATCGTATTCTTCTCTATTTATGTTTTTATTTTTGTTTCTTTTTGTTACACACTCTTTGCAACATTAAGCCACTACGTCAATCGGGCTAAAACGCAGCCAGGGCTTTCGCGTAACAAAAATTTGAGTATGCGCGACGCATTATTATACAAATCACAGATGCACTTCCGTGGTGGAGACACTTTCACTCGCCTCGTCTCGGACCGACCGTCGTTTTCGTTGCTGTTGCTGGCGATTGCCTGTATGTGTGCGTGTATGTGTATGTTTGTGTGTTGTGTCGAAGAAGTCTCTCACATACAGCAAAATGAAAAGAACGCAACGCGTTTTTTCCCAAAACGCGCGCGCCGTCAACGAGCTGTGCGCGTTTCTTGGCGTTTGACAATTTGATTCGATTACCTTGATACGCTTTTAGCCTAATTGGACTGCTGTGCAGTTATGTATATAGATTTATTTAACAAGTGAAATGTTTGGGATTTTTCGTTTTGTTTCGCTAGTCGTCCGTTCGGTGCAATTGCAATTTTCTGCCTTGAACGTGCGTGAATGTGTGTGTGCATGTACGTGAGCGTGTTTGTATTGGCTCAGCGTTGCACTGCTTTCGATCAAATGGAATAATGGTGTATCGGCGATATACATACACAATAATATGTGTGCATTATCGATAGACCAGTATTGCGCACAAGCAGGTGGCGCTAAGCCAATACAAAATATACAATATCAAAATGATTAAATATGTCATATTTTCTATATTATGCCATAAAAACAAACATTGAATTGAAGGAGGTATAAAAGATATTAATATATTTAGTACTTATATGGAACACACAGTTTGGGTTTCAATGCACTTGTAGTGCTTAAACATTTAACACCTAAGAGTATGCAATAAAACTTTGAATTCTCTGAAATGAACAACAAAATTTCCCTTCGTATCGTTAGATATATTTGTATGTTAGTTTTACCCATCTTTAAGCTCTACATTTATACATATATTAAAACCTACTATTATGGTACAAATTTAAGTGGTACTTTTATTTTAGAAAATTTTGAATACATTTTTATAGTCAAGACTGGATTATTATTAATTATTTCTATGAATATATGTACAAAGTACCTATTAGTGAACTTTGAATAATTATACCTTATATACTATATATNAAATATAGAACCGGTTTCCGGTTTGTTTGCACGACTCTCACGCAAAGATTTCTTATCAATTGACAATTGAAATTGCCAAGCTTGACTTTAAAGCAAAATAACGTTCAGTTGCTGTGGAGATCTTGACAACGAAAGTTTGAGTTCTCGCTTTCAGATTATTAGTACGTAGCGCGCATATAAGGAACATCTAAACGAAAAAAGACAATTAAAAACAAAGCGAATTATTTGAATAAAAATAATGATGTCAAGATCTGTGTTTCTGTGTTGTGTAGTATTCTTGATTACACTTAGTTGTGTTTGTGGAGATGGCTTGATAGAGGTGTTTAAATGGAAACAAATGGATTTTTACAACCGAGGCGATGTTCGAGCAGTACGACAACCAAATCCATCAGGTAAAGCTATATATTACCCATACATGTGAATTTTATTCTTTATCAGAAAGTGAATAAGTTCAAGCTCAATATTTAAAGTTGAAGAAAGTTGCTCTCTTACAAGATGATTAAGCTYTATAAATAATGTATATAATATAATATTCATAAAATGTATTAAACATGTAAGGCAACAAATTAATTGAAATTCAATTTTACTTAAATTTATATATGTATGTACATATAAATAAATATACAAATCATTATAAAAGCAGTAGAGAGTTGAAGAGAAAACAATTAATACGCTAACTTAATTCGAGCGCAATTAAAATATATTTATAGCTCGACAATTGACTCACTTCAATTAACTCCATTTATTGGGAAATTTCACTCCATAACTCTCTCACTCTCTGTGCATATTATGTGTATAAAAATTAATTGAAGTTCATGTGTTTTGCCCAACGCAGCGCCCGTAGTTTTTCCAGGTAAATATGAGCGAAGGAGAATGAAACGCAAAGTGATTACCTCGCGGGATATGCCCGAGGGCGTAGTGACTCGCAGCGGCTTTGGCGATGACGACTCTCTGCCTTACATACCCTACAACAATGTGCCGATGGGCGTAACACATTTTCGGGGGCGACTCTTTGTGACGATGCCCAGGCGACGTGTGGGAATACCCTCGACCCTAAATTACATAGACATGCGACGTGACAGCGCGCAGAGCAGCCCCAAGCTGCACGCCTATCCCAGTTTCGAGATGAACCAGTTCAATAGCAGTGAACTGAATCTAGTTTCCGTTTATCGCACCACTGTGGATGCGTGCCAAAGATTGTGGTTTATTGACACCGGCATGCTGGAGTATCCAAGTGAGTCAACAAAGACAATGGCTTATGCACACACATCAAATTATTTCTAATAATCCTCTATTTACAACAGATAATCGCCAGCAAATAAGACGGCCTAGTATTTGGATAGTGGACCTGAAAACAGATCGTCAGCTGATGCGCTTCGACATACCCGAAGAGATCGTGGAGACGGGTCGCGGTCTGGCCAGCCTCACCATTGATGTGCCCTCGCCTAATCAGTGCGATCAGGCATATGCCTACATACCGGATCTGGTCTATAGGCGGCTATATGTATACAGCCTGGCAACGGATCGCATGTGGAGCTTTGAGCACAATTACTTTAACTTCGACCCTGTGGCCGGAGATCTCCATATTGGTGGCCAGACCTTCCGCTGGGATGACGGCATCTTCTCCGTCACACTGGGTCCCCAGCAGCCGGATGGCAGTCGCGATGTCTACTTCCATGCCATGGCCAGCAACAATGAGTTCGTCGTCTCGAACCGCGTGCTCCAGTTGGAGTCGAATGCAGCTCGCTCCGATCATGGCAGCGACTTCCGTGTGCTGGGCAGCCGGGGTCAAAATAAGCAGAGTACAATGCATCAGTACGATCCGCGCACCGGCGTCGTCTTCTACGCCGAGATACAAACGAATGGTGTGGGCTGCTGGAACACGCGGAATCCGTTCTCGGCAGCCACCCATGACACTGTGGCAGCCAATGCGGAAACCATGATCTACCCCAGCGACTTAACGGTCAGAATATGAGTTTAGTATACATTTGCCATTACTAATTATGATTAAATTTCGTACAGATCGATGAGGATGGCACCATGTGGGTCATGACCAACTCGATGCCCATATTCATCTACTCCACATTGGACACAAACGTGTTCAACTTCCGGATCTGGAAACAAGACACCATTGCTGCCAAGCGAAATACGGTTTGCGAATAGGTTTATGTATATGGAATCGCTTTAATGAACATTTCGCAATGAAGTTACATAATAATATATTATACTCGTATGTCGTAATGTAATAATTGCATACTGACAAAATATTAACACAAATTTCATATGTATGCATGTATATATGTATGTATAAAACAAATTAAAAAGCCTTTACAAATGTACCTTTAAAAATTGCCTAAATTTGAGTACTCAGTTTATCACATCTTAAAGTTACATAGATGTTTCATTTTTCTTTTGTCATCAAAAACAAATCAAATACAAAAGTAAAACATATTAACGTAAATTAAACAAAATCAGAGGCACTCTAATATTGCATAAGGATACTAAGTTGCACAGGTTTGTATAATACGTGTGTGTGTGTGTGTGTGTGTGTGTGTGTGTGTGTGTCTGTGTATATATATTCAATTCAATTTACGATTAAAATAGTATTTCAAAATTTTCAAATTAAATACTTTTGATTGTTAAAATATCTTCTATTTTTTGTTTGTTTTGTAAAATTTCATAATTTTGTTTCTATAATATTCGAACAATTTTGTTGTGCATATTTCTCAAAGTGAGAGCATTATATAGTTTTCTATGTAAACTACTTATATAAAATTTGCAAAAATATATATTTATATATGTATATATGTTTTTCCGTTAATGCTCGCATGTATAAAGTTACTACATATAAAAATGACTATATAGCATTTCGTTCGTATAAGTAAACATGCATTTTGTTTTGTTTTGTTTTTATGTGAATAATGGAATGGTTATCTGGCCCAGTGTTATACAAAAATATACACGTATAACATAGTATAACAGTTTTGAGTTACTACATTGCTATATATCTTCCTATATATGTATTTATATATATATATATATGTGTGTGTATGTGTACCTATTTAAAAGCCGACCACTTTTGAAGTGAGGCTGCAGCCGACATTTTACTGTACTAGATAATCCTTGTAGCCGCGCAACGATTTCAGTTGCTTTTTCAATTTGGTTATCAAATCCGACGGTTGCACCAGTATCGATATATCCCTGCCCACCGAATTGAGGCGATCGCGTATCTCCAAATCCTTGAAAAACAGATTCAACGGTCGACCGTTAATCTCCGTCAGTATCCAAAAGGTCAGCGTGCTGCCATCGCACGATTGAGCCTGCAATGCATCAATGAATGGCATGAATTGATTGGAAATGATTTGTGAAATGCAATTTGTAATCACCTTGGGTGGCAGTCCATGCCGTGCCGCCAGACTGTTCGGCACCACGTCCACAATCGTTGAGGTATTGCCATCACGTATAAGTCCCAGGCACTGTCCATCGCGATCTCGGCGTATGGCATAGGCGCGTCCAAAGGGTATGCGACGCAGCAGCACTTCAACCTGTAAGCAAAGCAATATACTCAATGACGTCAGTCTAAGTCTGATAATGATTTGGGATGTACAATTGGTGTCAATAAACATACATACTATACTGTATTCGTTTAGTCTTGATAATGATTTGACATAAATTATGACGATTTAATCATTCAATTCGAGCATTGTGAGCTAAAAATTTGTGCTCTTTTACACAGATTACATTTTGAATTTTGTATAGTTATTGTATAGTTAAAATTATGTAATAATTGAAAATTCATTAATTAATTATATGCAATAAAATGATTCTATTTAGATCTGTCTTATTTACATAGTATGCAAAAATGCACGTAAAGTAACTACAAATTAAGCAACATATTAATATTAATATTACTATTAAAATGTGTGAATTTAATATAAACTCTAATAAATCCATATAAATTGCTAAAGATGTCATATAATCTTCCCTGGTCAAACATAAAGCAACTAATGACAGGCTTAGCTGATTATAGGTAGATAATGTTAATGAAGCAGATGTCTATTTTCAACACATTCGCATATTGCTAAWATAACTCACACTATTTAATCTTATGTATATATTATAAATATATATACGTTTTTAAAGCTTAGCATTAAATTTCTTGTCCTAATTTATAGTTATTTTAAAACTATAATTTCAATCTATATCATATAGCATATATTGCAAGATTTTAACTGATACATATTAACACAGCATGATTCATAAATTTAATAATATTCTAATTTACGTCAGGGCGTATTTGCAGTAAGTCAACAATTAGCTTACATCTTGATGTATGTAAGTATGTTAAAATAGTAAATACTTACGAATAACGTGTTGGTATTGCGTATTATTTTATTTGCCTCGGCAGCGCTGCTGATGCTGACGCCTGCAATGGAGAGCAGCTGATCGCCAATGTGAAGGGCGTTGTAGAGCACGGGATGCTCCTTCTGCTTCCAGCCCGCAATCCTGCAAATGAGACGAACATACATTTCAATTAAACACTTATTTGCAGATATAGGCTATATGACTCACCAGACACCACCGAAGGCATCCACCCAGGCAATGGAACCAACACAATCCTTGCGCCGCAGATTGAGTCGCACGCCACCAGGATGCATGATCTCACGTCGCAACTGCATCACCTGCTGCTCTCTTAATGTGAGTCGCTTATTGCTGCTGTTGGACTGGCTGGCCACAGCCTGTGGCGGAGATTGCATGCGGAATGCACCTGCAGCTGCTGCACTGCGTCCTGGCACAAACTCATTGTTGTTGGCGCCGCGCTGGCTGCTTTGTTGCGTTGTTGCAGCGACTGTGGCGCCACGCTGCAGCGGCGCTTGGGCATCCGATGTGGAAGAGCTGCGCCTGCGCTGCTCAATGCTGTCCGTATTGGTGCTGCCGGAAATATTGCTGGCATCCCGCGTCGCATTGCTGGCACCGGAGCTGGAGCTGTTGTTGGCAGCACTCTGTTCAATATTATTGTTAGCATTGCTCGTGTTCGTGCTCGTGCTCGATGCCTTTGGCGTTGTCTTGGTCTTGAGCGGCGTATTGAGTAGCTTCAGATAGTGAAAGTCACGGCGACTGGGTCGCGTGCTAATAACCAGCTCGGTTAGGCCGCGCGTCAGCTGAGGCCGGACACGTCCATTGCTGGGCGTGGGCGAGGCAATGGCCACGCCGCGACGTGGCAAAGCAGGACTGCCATTCATGGGTGTCGCCTCCACATTGACCACTGCATTGCTAGCCTGACCTTGGCTACTCGTGGGACGCACAGCCGTTGGACTATTGCTGCTGCTGTTGCTACTGATGGGTATGCTCGACGAGAGGAATACCTTCTCATAGTGCACGTTGCCGCTGATGACATTCGAGTCCTGCGACTGCTCATTGTTGATGCGTATATTCGTGATTCCCGAGCTGTTGGCGCTCAGTATGATCTTCTTGCTCATCTTCGGGGTGATTGGCTTACTTGCACCACCAGCGCTGGCTGTGGTGGGGTAACAGGTGCCATAAACTGCCACCGTGGTTGCCTCACCATCGGCCAGCACCTGCACCTTTGTTGTATTGGCATTCGCTGTTGCCGTGGAAGCATTCGAAGTTGGCGCATTCGGATTGGAAGCATTCGGTTTTAAGGGTATAGTATAGGGATTGCCACTGCTATTGCTGCTACTGCTGTTGCTGCTGCTCGGCTGGCTGAGCACTTGTATTGTATTCGAGTTGGACGGAATTATTTGTACATTGCTTTTGTAATCGTTCTGTGGCTGCGATTTCGCTTTGGCTTTCAAACTGATTTCAGGAAAACGAAAAATATCCGCTATTACTTTATTTTTGGGCGGCAGTTCGGGCGCTGGCGTCGTATTTGTAGTCGTTGCAGTTGTCGTATTGGACACCTGTATAATCGTTACATTGTTGTCTCCATTCTCCTCGACGGCAGTTGAATTTGTGGCTGAAGCTTGAAGCTTTGGCTGCGGTGATTGGCGTTGCGGCCTCTTGGTTTTGTCAGCGGCGCCAGCTGACATGGAACGTGATGTTTGGGGTCTAATGGAGAGGACGAAAAGTAAAAGCTTTAGATGATGATACAATAAAGTGAATATTATATATTGATAAGCTAGATTAGAATATGAATCTTAAATATCTTAATATCAATATCAATATAACTGGCTTGCCCCACAACAATCTTAACATCTAGAAATCTTTGTGAGCTTCGTAAACTACTGCCAACAAGATTTAAATACTAATCCAAAAAGTCAAATCAAGTCAAATCTCAATAACAACCCAATAATTATAGATGTTTCTTAAAATGACCGATGAAGTGGCTTTATCAGATGAGACGCTGGACGAGTTGTTCGTTAGGGAAGTGGGCAGCGTGACGAAAATTGTGGAAAAGCTGCCCAGCAATGCCGTAATGGCCACCTGCACGCGTTGGTTCAAGATCTTTCAGGCAGCCGATCCCGAGGAAAGATTTGCACGCAACTGCATGCTTCTATTGCTCCACAAACAGCTCAACGATGACAACGCACTGAGTTTTCCTTTTACGGATGCTCGCAGTTATCAGCGGGATCTAAAAACATTGCATCAGATGAGTCTAACGGTGAACCATGCAGATGGCAACGTCGACGATGTTAATAAAGATGATAACCGTAATGGAGATGCCAATACCGAAGATAGCCCCACCATGGATACAAGTTCGCCATTCAGTTCGCATAGCCCAGAGGTGTGTTGCGCAGAGAATTCGTTGCGCTTGGAGATCGCCAACAAGGTGCTGATGGAGCAAAACAAAGAGATGCTCAGAGAGTTGCAGGAGCTGGAGGCAGAGAAAGAGAATTTGCTGACGCACCGCGAGAACCTAGAGGCTACAAACGAAACACTGCGCGATCACAATAAGTTGTATAGCAAAGAAGTCGGGTGTATGAAGCACATTTTTGCCTGCTCGTCTGTGACGGCCCTTAAGCTATTTAACCAGCCACAATTTATGGAACGTCCAACCTATTTCGTGACCCTTTTCTCTGTGCTCTGCGAAGATGCACGAGATCGGGCACACTTTGAGCAAATGGATATTAAGTTAGGGCGTTTACTGCGCGATCACATGGACTATTATGTGTCATTAACAACACGAGATCAAATTAGCAGAGCATACAATGAAATGCACGCTAGTGTGTGTAAACGCTATAAGCAGCTCATTAGAATGCAGGAAGAAACGGCGGTGCATCAGCTATCCTTAATGACAATGCGTTATTTGATGACACTGCGCAAACTCTTTCTGGACACCAACAAACACGACAAAGGCATGGAGCAGTTGGCGTTGGATTTCATACAATATAATTACAATGATTTAGCGAAGGGACTATAGAGTCATCTATGCATTTACCTGGGTATTAGACGTTCGCATTGCAGCATTTGTTCAAAATTTAAGATTTGATCTGTAAAAAAAGAATGTTTAGTTTAATTGAATTTAACGCTTTGACATGGGATGCTTACCCGCAGATATGCGCTGTGCTGATGAAGCTGCCACATCGACTCGCACTCCGTTTCGTAGTATGGGCGTTAAGAACTCATCTTCGGAAAGATTCGAATCTGCAGTGGTTGCGCTTGGGGGTTCGACTATAATTGCCTGCTGCTGCTGCTCCTCCTCCTCCTCTTCATCTTCAACAGCAGCTGCTGTTGAAACTGTTTCGCTAATTTGTTCGCTGTACGTGCTGATGGGATCCGAGAGCATATTAAGCAAATGCTGTGTTAGGGTATTAGACATTGCTGGTGGCGGCGCTGCTACGGCAACAGCGGGTGTTGGAGCCGCTTCTATGACTGGTGCCACCGCTCTGGCTGTTTGTTCATTTCCAATGGTTGCTGGCGGATGCTGATGAGCCGGAATACGCTCGACCCCTGGCACTATGGCCGCTGGTACGGGCGGTGGTGCCGGCAACGGAGATGTTGGATCACGTGTGGGCAGCAATGGGGCTCGCACTTCAGGTAACTTTGTGTATAGGTTTTCACGAGGCGATAGAATTTTCATTTCGCGCAGCTTAGCTCGCAGCGTTTCCACCCATTCTTGCATAATCTCCCTGTATTCCGCAATAAAATATTGTTAATTGCTTCGTTTGTGTGTGTTTGTGTTGTGCGCAACTTACCATGAAACGGCATGAAAGCGCAACACTTCATTGCTGAGCGTCACTACAAATTCAAACTCATGGGAATTGGGTATGAGAGCATGTGATATGTGCAGCGTATCCCGCAGCGACACGGCCCACTCAGGCATATGAGCGGCCGCCTGCCGCGGTTCTGCATAGCCCTCCAGAAGGGCCTCGGTGTCATCATGCACGCAGAACACCACCCAACTGCATTCCGATTTCTGTAAATCAATGGTAGGTAATTTTGACTGCTATAACTGATGATAAATAGTTTACCTTGGGGCCCACGGTTAACTTTTTGCCATCGGCCGTCAGTCTTTTCAACCACGTATTCTTATGTATTTCACGAAACTGCGCCGAGCTGGCGCTCGCTGCGATTGCAGGTGCATTTGCAGGTGTTGTCGTTGTTGTTGTTGTGTTTGCAGCTGGCACTGCTGCAGCAGCCGCAGCCATCTCTGAAGCCTGCTCTTTGCTCTGCTGCTTGTTGCTACAATGCGCGCTCTTCGATTGCACTTAACATATTTCACATTTCACACAATTTATTGCAACTTTTTCTACATTCGCATTAATAACAAAAAAGAAGTCAGCCAGAAATTGGCGACGACGCCATGTTTGCTATCAGCAATTTTTTTATCGACTTCTTATCGATACTTTGTATATTATAACGTTTGGTGTTGCCACACTGTTTGCAACAGTTAGAGCATTCAAAATAAGGGGTTATTCTCAAACATTCTTCCGATTCAAAATCCCAGTATATTCAAACTTTATTTTTAATATTTGTATTTTATTTATTAGCTGCTATTCCAAATAAAGTTAAACAGATTTATACTATAATACTTTTTTTTATTGGGATTTTTAAAAATAGTATTTTATATTTTTTTTGATTCGTTTTTTTATCTTTATATCACACAAAACGTAAATAAGATCTGTTTTATAGCTGTCTTAAATATCTAGAACTAACCAAAAAAAACGATATTTTTATTTCTACATCCGAAAACAGAAGTAAATTAAATTAAATTTATATGTTTTTTTTTTCATATGCATTTGCAATCGAGCAAATGGACAAGAATTAATTTTAAAGTTTTACAAAAAATGTATTGCAGCGCATTTAATACTAGATATACATATACAGATGAATATGTATACTGTAAGAGAAGTCATTTAAAATTAGTACGTAGTTATATCATTAATTTTAGCATTAGTTTATCTTTTCGTTTCCAACATTAGTTACTTATTTACAGCTGCAGATAACTAGTATGCGAGTCAAAAGTAGGTAAAGGTAAAGTCGTTTCTTTTCCTTTCTTTTTGTAACATAGACAGAACGTACAACGAGTTAACAATTACTCAAATGAGAGAACAAAATAAAAATAGAGGCAACAGAAAAAAGAAGGAAATGTTTAAACTTATAGCGAGTTTAGGTAGTTGGCATTTGCATTAAATTAATTACAATTAACGTCTTTAACATAAATTTCAATCAAGCGAAATGACGGTTGGTTTTCAAATACAATCGAGTCTTGTAGTGTTTACATTTGCTTTAGCTGGAAATTTTTACATTTATATATCAAGATGGTTTTTCACAGTTAGCGTGTGTAAAAAGTCATTTTTGTACGTTTATACGAAAGTTTTGTTCACTAGCTTAAGCACGGCTCGTCTATATATATAATTGGCTCCAGATAGATATTAAACGCGAAATTTGCTGCTCGTAATGTTAGTTTTGTAGTCATGGGTCAAGATAACTTCTTTTTCAACTCTTCTACGCATATATAT